TCTTAAATATGGATCTTCATTTGAAGATCAAATTTTCCAGAAATTGAACGTTTTGGGCTAAGTACATATCCTAGTAGTAAGTCATGAACGCTCATTCCATTGTAATTTATGGTAGTTTATTGCAAAAAAATATTTACAGCAATGCTTTAATAAGCACTGTCATCTGTCAGATGTTGTTTTGTTCCACTTTTCCCACTGGATGAGACAAATGTTCTTCCCTGGATTAGCTGTCATGTGTGCTTTCTATATTTAAATTGTGATGCTTAGTTCTTAGTTCTGTGGCCTGATCATTTGAAACTCCTTTTACCTTGCTGATCAAGAACTCACTTCAAACAGACCCAGATTCTCACTTCAGTCACACCAAGTGTCAATCTGAAGCAAATACTGCAAAGGCAGATGTAGCTTCTCCTTACTTACATGGTGTAACCAAGATGAGAGCCTGATGCTCAGAAGTCCTAGTTCTTCAAGCACTACTGTTCTTCAATATGAGTTTGAATGTGCAACTTTATAGATGCAAGAGAGCACTTGCACAGTCTGTTGAAATCAGTGGGACTCTTTGTGTGAGTAACAAGCTCACCAATGAACAGAGTTGCACAATCAAGCCCTGTGTGCACTCACTTTTACTGATCTAAGCAGTTCTCTCCTATGTCTTAATAGTCTCAGGAATGTAACTAGAATGGAATAAGTGCCAATGCACTAGCTCCATCATTATAGATAAGCCCAAAGGCACTTCTATATGTCTTTGAACCAAATGCTGACTGCTCCCTTTCCTAATATATTAGCAAAATAGACATTTTTTTCCACAGTTCTAAATGTTTCTCCATCTCAATATCTGTAAAAATACCTAGAAAGACAGTAAAGATTGTTTCCTTTGGGAAACTATGTTACAGCTAATAGATCTCATAGTTCATAAATATTGTTAGGGCATAGAGAGGACCAGGAGTCAGGAGATGTGTGTGACCTAACCGTGTCTCTATGACTCACCTTCCCCATCTGTGAAGTGAGGCTAATAAGAGCTCTTCTTTGTAAAGCAATAAATGAAAAGTATTAAGTATTATTAACTGTATCAACATATTTACTCTACTTATGCCACTGCAAAACAGAAACAGTGAGGCAATATGAGTCCAATTCATTTGCCAGCAGCAGTAAAGTTGGCAGAAAATGGGGGCAGGGGCAGGAGAGAATCCACACACACTCCCTGTTAAATGATTCCTGAGGAGTTAGGGAACAGCATAAGCAGGAGTATAAAGGCTTTTACAGTGGAGCTGCAGATGTAGCAATAAAACAAATGCAAAACTGTGCAAACAAATAGATTTCCCCACAACAAGGCAAGGACATTTCTGACTTAATAAACACAGCAGGCGAAACCCTCCATCCATATAAATTCTCATAGTTCCACTAACTTGGATTCATCTCTGTTAATTTATGCCATCTGAGAAACTGGTTTAGCATGGATACAAAAATGCTTAACTATCTGCAAAAAAGCACCTGAATTGCATAAAGTGGCAACCTTACATTTGCACTCTGACTAGAGCAGGGATTAAATAATTTTGGGGAAAAAAAATCCAGCCAGCCTATATTTCAATTCTTACATCTCTGAAAACACAAAGTAAAAAAATCCATAATATCACATCCATTTGCTGTTGGGTTGGTATTTCTAGTAACATTTTCATTCCAGTTACACCCCCCAAGAGAACAGGAACAGGGTTAGGCTGACAAGCATGAATATATCAGCCTTGTTTGTATTTCTCTGTGGCTTCAAAGTACTGCAAATACTTCAAAATCCATCTGGATTTGTTGTCGTCTGGAATTTCAAGTGAGCTGTTCATAAATAAAGCCGCTTTGGTGGGACAGAAGTCCGGAAAGGAGCAAACAAAGACAAATTTTCACAGCTTCAGTGTTTTCCTAAACAAGTAGCATTATTAATTCGTACTCGGTATTTTAACAAACAGCTCTAGAGATAATTCCAAATTATGGTCCTTGTAGGCTGGTCACTTATAGGGACAAACTGAATTTTTAAGTCACATTTATGAAGTACCTTATTAGTCTCTAAAAATTAAAGATCAGTAACAAACACTGGGATGCTTATTTAAAATCTGAACACAAATAATAGAAAATGGTTTCATTGTCCCGGTCTCTTAATCACTATTCACTTTGTTCTTGCATATAGTACCTTTTGCTTTTAGTCCTATTAAAGTTCCTTATAAAGGTCATCCTAGGATGTATTTACCAAACAGCAAAATGGCCCTCATCAAAACCAAGGGGATGAAAAAAAACAGTGACACCAATTTGGTGGAGCAAGTCTTAAGGTGGTATTGCGTGTCAAGCAGATGAGTTGCATCTGTTTCATGTCTGCTGTATCCCACAGTAAGTGGAAGCCACCATTCAGCAGCTGTTTCATTCAGGGGTAAGCTACCCTGTTTTCACTTCCCCTTACTGTGGGGGATGAAAAAGTTACAATGGTCGGCTGACACCCACTAACACATGGCATTAACTCCTTCCCCAGCCTCCTCTTCCAAATCAGTAAAATTGCTTCCCATACCAGTATAGTTGCTTCCCTTATCCACTGCCTTATAACACAAGAGATCTTTATCAACCCCTTTTTACCGATTTCTGTATTCTCCCCCATCCAAAGGTGAATTCATATGAAAACTTATTTCTCTTTTTAGTGTAACTCCCTGCACATGCAAGCAGAAGCAAAGTCTGCAGATAAAGATGGGAATGCAGGAAGGAATGCATCAGGCTCCTGAGGCACTGATAGGACTAGTATCTATGGTGGTACTTCCTTACCTTATGCACCTGCACAAACAGTCATACATGCAATTTAATTCAAACATTAAAGAGATATCTTTTTTTCTTCACTGGTGTCTGACTACCACTGATAGGAGGCATGTACATTAACAGGGAGAAAATTAACTGTGTTCCCTATCTGCAATTATTTCTCAGACCTAAATCAAAAGGTAGAGCGAATTGTAATAGCATCCAGAAGGCACTCAGACCTAAAGTTATAAAGAAGGTTTCTGGCATCTGGGTGGGGGGGCAAATATCAATATCTGCAACTGCATGCACTTGGTGACAATCTTACTGTCTCTGTAAATTATTTGGCACTGGCAGGTGCAAACAGCTCTGCCTGCAGTTTTGTGCTTATAAAACTGGGGACTGAACTGAGTCCCAGCTAAAAAATTAAGTCCTCATCATGACAAGAGAAATAGGCAGCGATTCAAATGCCATATTGCATTGTATCTTCTTATCCATTCTGGGCATGTGCCCCTCTGAACTCATGGTAACTAATCCTGACTAATATAAAGCACCAGTAACTGGGGAAAATGCAATATATTGCAGAAAGACTTCATTGGAAGTCTTACTCCTTTCTGGTTGCGGCAAACATGAAGCTCAAAGCCAGACTTTTTTTTTTTTTTTTTTCAAAGCTATGGTTTGGTTAAGGTTCCATGCAACAATTTCAAAACCTGCCAGTCTCACTAGTTGTATGACTGTGAGTCTGGAAGACCCCCTCCCAGACACACACTAAACTCAATAAAACAACCTGTATACAATTAAAAACTGCTCTAAGTCATGAAAGCAAAGCTGTTAAACAAAATGAAAATGTGGATGGAGCTGGAAGGACATGGATAGTGGGGAAACAGCACATCAGTATTCTGAAACAGAGATAACATATACATGCCCCTGTTGCACTGGGTTTCATATATAAATTTACTTTACTGGAGCAGGAATGATTTCCAGATCTAGTCTTAAAAGCAGTACATTTAAAATTATTCTCTGTCTTTAAGACAGTAACTTGCCACAAAGGCTAAACATTTTTGGATGCTTAAAAAGAGAAAGTAAGCAAATAACCTAGTATGTTATCGCCCATGCCTTGGAAAGGACTACTCTACACACTATCACCTAGGGATGGCAGGGAAAAAGTTCTGCATCTTTTCCATCAACAGTCATCCCCTGTTTTACCCTTACCTGCCCCTTCTCTTTTTCTCTAAAAGGATAGGAAAAGGTGTTCCAAATAGAAATAAATTAAGAACAAGTCTATTTACAGCCTATGTAAAGATGAATTTTCTCTCTCCCCCCTCTAAAACATATTAGAGATTGGTTTAAGATGAAAATTTGATAGTTTTCTAACTTTGTTTATGATATTCTAGTTTCTAAAGGCCAGGCGTATTCACATCTGGGTTTTTGGTTCAACCCCACATCACAGAGAGACACTCCCAAAAGTATATACAGAACAGAACCTGTTTACAAAACTCAGCTGGACTGAGATGCCATTAATTGGGTAAAAGAAACACTTAGAAACTGTAGGACTGCCTCTATGGCTACCTTAATTTGATGCATTGTAACATGCAAGATGCTATTATGGAGATAATGAACCCCCAAGCTTTGTGAAGCTGTTCCAAATAAAAGGTTTTGGGATAATTTAATTTCACTGAACAAAAAGAATTAACAGTATTTAAATACTGCTATAATATACCCTCCAAACCATGCCTTTTTTTTCTTTTAAATAAAAGGTCTATAGTCATTCCAGGGTGAAACTATGTATGTATGAAATTATGTAACCGCGAGGAAAAAAGAACATGTGTTATAGGAATGGGTCACTGTCACTGATTAACAGCAATGGAAATAAATCCCAAATGGAAACACATAGGGCAAGAGAGTCATGCTTAGCATTGCACAACACAGCAACAGTAAATATGATGCTGAAAACGCAGTGGAAATCCTGCTGAAACTCTTATAAGATCCACATTACTATTGAATAGCTTCACTGTGATTAACGTTTATGGTAAATACCAAATGAATTAATAAAGATCAGACCCCTCATTTTAAAATATTGTGTTTTCTCTGAACAGGAACCATGTTAAAGAGGAATATTTTACCTAATGCAGTACGTACAATATTAGCAAGGAGGCAGGGGGGAACTCTCAAAAGCCACTTTGAGAACACAGGATCCCTTTAAATGACAGACCTGCCCCCAATACAACGGCTAAAGCCCTTACCATGAATTCCTCCAGAGTCTGGTAGGTCTTCCCTCTGAATTCACAGTAGTTCTTCCTCTCTTTGCACTGTGGGCAGCACTGACTGGTGTCGACATGAATGCACCGGGGGTGGAGTCTTGGGCACTCAGGTTGTATGCACAGAGGTCCCTCTTCAGTGCAAAGGCAGGGGCAGGCAGAGGGGCCTGGAGTAAACTTCTCCCCGATAGCATAAACAAAGCCGCTCTCATCTACACATCCTTTCCCACGGTAGTCTGGATAAGCATACTCCTCAGGGGGCTCAGGTGTAGTGCTCGCTACAGCTTCTGGGAGGGAGGGATCTTCAGCCGCCTGAGGCTCCTCCGGGACACCGTCACTCTGCTCTTGATCTTCAACATTCCCGGATTTACTGCTGGCTCCCTGACTAGTCCAAGCCTGCTTCTGCTTAGTCCAAGAGTCTTTGTTTGAATAATTTCTGTTTCCTTTGCTTTTCCAATCTCTGGTGCCCTCCTCCCTCCCATTCCTGCCGATTTCATTCATTTTCCCAGGGCCTGTCTGGCTGTCCCTGGTGGAGGCGTGATCTCTCTTTTCCTGGCTTGTCTTGATCTCCTGTTTGTCTTGAGCCTTGGCCAGTTTTTGCACAGGGATAGTAGAACTACAGAGGGCAACCATGAGGCAGCAGGTGACAAGAAGAGAACTAGAAAGAGCTCCAATGGCCATTGCAGTAGAGCTGGGCATCACCTACTGCAACCCACAGGGGACACTGCATTCACATCCAAGGGAATCACTGTGCAGATCCGCAATCCCTAGGAAAAGAACAATTAGTAACACTTCAGCTCACACACTTTGCTGCCCTGTCCTTCCTGCCAAGACAAGCTCTCAAACACCAGGGAACTTCATCTGGTAGTTTATACGTAGTATAGGCAGTTACCATTGTGAGGTATCCCTCCTCTTCCCCCCTCCCACAACTTTCTATGTATGGTTGTCTGTATGATTGCAAGCTCACTGGAATAGGGACTGGGTTTCTTGCAGCTCAGTAAAAGCATTACCTGAACTGCTGGTGGGATAAGATTCATAACAGCAGTTAAAGGAACACACTTCGGCATGTTGTGTTGTGTTTTGTTTTAGCCAAGCACCACAACACGAAGTGGCCATACCCAGAATCAAATAAAACTCGAATCACAGCAGCCTCCCAAACAAACACCAACTGGTTCCCTTCCATTTCCCTGACTGTGCGCCTGGTGATTTTCATGCATCTTTTATTCAGTCTGAAAAGGGTTGCTTTAAAATAGCTGATGCAGAGAAGCACAACTTCAAATGAAGAAAAGAAAAGAAAAGAAAAGACAAGACAAGACAAGCAAGCAGCCTGAACCTTTCTGAGCCAGTCAGACTACAACTGGTCTGATTTTCCTCTGGTAGCCTTGCCTGTCTTTTCTACCTTTGCAAAGACAGAGAGGAACCTGTCTGGGTGCCTCCGGCAGAGGTTCTGCTCAGCTGAACGCTCCAAGACAGACACAAAATGAAATGTCCTGGCTAGCTAGCAAAGACCAGTTATGAATTCATACATGAATTCCCAAATTCCTAACTCCATGGCAAAATAAGTGAGACATTAGGCCAGTGGTTCTCAACCTTTTTTGGACTTGAGCCACCCGTCGCTGGTCTCCCCTCCCTGGACCCAAGGCACCTCTCACTGGTTCCAAAGCACGCTCACTGGTCTCCCCTCACTGGGCTTGCAGCACCTCACTGGTCTCAAAGCACCCCGTGCTGGTCTCCCCTCCCTGGCCTTTCCCTGGTTTCAGAGCACACCCGCTAGACTTGAGGCACCCTCCACAGCTCCTGTGAACCGAGGGGCACCCCATGTCAACTGGGACCTTACAGGGCAGCGCTGACCTCCTTGCAGAGGGGCTGGGGGGATCCTCCGGGCAGAGACAAGCCTGCGCCTGGCTGCCCTGCCTATCTCCTTCCCCATCGGGGCACACCCCAGGGTGCTGGGGGCTACGACTGCCCCCGCGTGAGGCAAAAAAAGCCCCCCCCCCCCGACCCCGTTGCCTCCCAGCCCGGCTGTGCAGAGCCCCGCATGCGGGCGCCGCTGCGGTGGAGCGGGCTCCCCGCGGGGCTGACAGGGGGCACCGGCGCCTCCCGCCTGCTCCGGGGCGGCTCAAACTTTGCGGGGGGAGGCAGGGACCCCCCCGCAGGAAGGCAGG